GAAAAGGTTTTTGAAAAATTCTTTTCCAGATGATCAATATATAACTGAGTGCCGAGTTAAAAAATAATTTTTAGAAATGAAGCACAACAGTAAAATAATCCGCTCAAGAAACACAGGTATATAAAGTAGGTAAATATGCTTCCAGGTTATAAATTAATCACAAGAATTCAATCAACAGAATTTACAAATAAGCAACCAAGCAATAACCATGCATAAATCGGTAAGGATACCGAACCAACCTAACGGAGAGTTTGGAATAATCTTACCAAACTACTGTTGAAAAACAGTAAATATACCACCAAGTTTCTGAACCTAATTGCGGTAAATGTCAAGCCAGGGGCAAAATCGTCCAACTTTTTCTGTAAAACCTGAAACAGAAAACAAACGATATCAGTGCGTTCAGGACGTCAAAATAAGTAAACTGCCCGAAAAAACTCGCCGGAGGTCCGCCACGCGCCGTCGCCGGTCGCGCGCCCCAACACAAAGAGCGCCTCAGTCTGCTAGTTGTGGGTCCAGGTTCCATTTCGCCGGAAAGTCAATAGTTTGTCCGGAATTTGAATTTTCAGATTCGGTCATAAAATGGAGTAGCGATTTCCTTGCCGGTTTTGATCGATTTTTGGACAGATTTCATTCCTCCTAGCTCTGATACCAGTTTGTTGGGGATCCTAAGAGTTCAATCAACCAAAACATCAAACAATAGAAGAAATTCTAAGGCAAAACCAAGAAAATACGAAATCGGAAATAACACAACCCATATGGCCGAATCTGGACAGCTTCTGCTTCCTCCTTTCAGCAGCTTCTTCTCCTCCTTATGGCTGATTTTACAGGCTCAGGAACAGCCCTCCATGACTTGCAAATCACCTTCCAAGAGAGAGAGAGAGAGAAAAAAAAATCGACAAAGAACCCACCACCTTCAAGCTAAAACCGAGAGACCATAGAGAAAGGAGAGGGAGTCGACTTAAGAAGGGAAGAAAAGGAAAGACCCATCCCTCTGCCAAAAACGTGGGGGGCCTTATTGTGTCACCATCAATACCATCAAGTCAAAAACATCTCCCCCAAGATTAAATCCCAGCCATCGATCTTCATCCAATGGTCCACAAAAATCTGTATAAATGGAGTTAAGAGAACCATATTCTCACAATATAACAAGTCAATATATAAATAAATTTTTGGGATTATAATGTTTTAATGTACTAACATATACTAATTTAGCTATATTTTACTCAAGAGGTAAAAAGAACATGTTTATATTTAGCTCTCATTTGGTAGCAATTTTTAATCCCAAAAAATTGATTTTTTGATTGTTATGATATTATTTCTGTCGTCATTTTTTACTTATTCACTCACATATAGGATCTACTTTTCTCTGTAACGGTCAAAAAATTAATTGTCATTATCGCTACCAAACATATCCTTAATATCTTATTTTAACATATAATTTATAAATATAGTTTATTATCAAATTAATAAATATAGGCTCCAACTAGCACTCGTATCTAGAATATAAGTTTACTGGGTTTTCATATATTGTCGGAAGCCCAAGGCTCTCTGATATTGTCTCTTTTAAATTAATTAAAATTATATTTAATAGAAAAAAGTTTTAATCTGATAGGAATTAAAATTAAAATTTTAATCTAAATTAAAATCAACAATTAATTTTAATAACATATTTTATGAAACCAACAACTTTTTAGTTAAATATTTCATTAATTTTTTTATCAAAATCTACTAAAAATTTAATTTTAATTTTAATTCTCAAACAGGGGCTTAAAGTGACTATTTTTCCTTCTCAACTTTGCCAAGTCAAAAGGTTGAATTGCGTGAATCTCACGTGCATTTGCTTCATAGATGAATTCCTATCGAAACAATTTGAGTGTGTTTGATTTGATATCTTCATACTGTTTTCGATTTTACAAAAGACTGAAAAACGTTGTTAATCTGGTATATTTGAAAATATATTTTCGAAAATAAGTTAAACTAAAAACATAAAACTCAATACATATTTGAAGTTTTGAGTGTTTTTAGTGAAAAATATTAAAATGCTCAAAATATAAAATACAAATGAATAAGTAAAATTTAAATAATAAAAATATGAACTTGTGATTTTAATCATCCAATCTAGACCTGAGCATGGTTCGGGTTGGATTGATTTTGAGTGCAACCTGAAATCGAAACCGACTTAATCAGTTTGGATAAATTTTAATTCAAATTGACTCAATCCAGTCATTGAAACCGAACAAAACCAAACCAAATTATCTACCTATATTGGGTTAATTTTTTTTTATACATATAATTTTTTTTTCTTTTGTAATGCAAATCAATAATATATATAGAGCATGTTTGGTACAACTTGAAATCTTATTAAAATCAATTTTTTTACCGTTATTTCACTATTTCAGCCGTTGTTTTTGAATTATCACAGGTAGAACCTACTTTATCTCTAACAGTCAAAAAATCAATTAATAAAATCTCTACCAAACAAGCACATAATGTAAATGGTAAAGAATCCGTTTTTCCAAAATCATCATATATAAAAATGCGATAGTTATTAACAAACAATTACATCAAAATGAAAGCAAGAATACAATCTAAATTCGAAATTTACATCAAACATTTCTTGTTCTTACTTTCTTTTCTCTTGATATTTAAAGTTTTGGTAGAAAAATTATAGGTCGGATAATTATTGAGTTGGTTGTTTAAACCGAAACTAACCCAACCTGACTTTTTGATGCTTAAAATTGATTAAACCAAACCAATTTTTTTGGTTCAAACCAATCACAGTCGGTTTGATTTAATTGGTTTTGTCAATTTCTCGGATTTTCCCCCCACCAAACAGCTTCCATTTATAGCCCATTCGAAATAAAATAATAATTTTAAGGCTTTTGTTCGTTTTGAAGATGTGAAGGATTTAGGCATTGCCAACCAACCACCATTTTTCTTTTTTCTTTTTTTTTTTTCCTTATCAAGGAAACAAAAATTTTAGAATTATGCTAAATGTACATTCAATAGGTTACATCTCGATGTGCATTGTGTGAGATTTCAAAAAGTGTAGAGCAAGAAAGTATATATATATTTTTAAAAAACTGTCTAATTATGTGTCGCCACGTGATACAATGTAAAAAATGATGTAAAAAAAAAAAAAGGATGTACATGTAGCATGATTAAAAATTTTAATAACCCGTATGATTGTATACGCGCACAGAATAACAAGGCAATCACTCCATATTAGATAAATTGTATGAAACTTTTTTAAGCCGTGATAGATTTCACACAAATCTACATTTACGCCATGTTTGATGAAAATTTTAATAAAATTTAACAAAATATGTGGTTAAAAAATTGTAAAACTCATGAAATATGTTGTTAAATTTAATTATCAACTTTGACTAAAATCAAAATTTTAATTTTAAATTCTAACAAACAAGGAGTAAATATAAATGTTCAAAAAATTGAAAGTGAACACAACTGAAAGACATTTGGTTAAATATCTCAATTATGATTGAATTTTTTTTCAACTACCTTTAAACTTCTTTCGAGTTGCGATAAAAATTTAGAAATTTCCAAGTTGCATTAAACTTGCCAAAATATTAATCCATACGTCATTCTGCCACTCGCCATATCAAAATTCAAAAGTCAATGAATTTGATGACATGGATAAATAATGAGGGGTAATTGGCGCAGCCGCACAAAACGTTAATACCTTTCAAGATTATTTTGCAAAACGTCCTTACCTTTCATTTTTTGACATTTTTGCCCCTATTTTCACATTTCTTTGCGCTGAACGTCATTTTCACTGTTGTTTTTTTACAATTTTACCCTCCATTCAAATCAAACAAAAAGAAAAGAAAGAAAAAAAATAAATAACTAATAGCAACCACAGTCCCAAAATTTCAAAAAAACTACAAATCAGTTTCAAATATAGGCAAAAATGCCAAAAAATGAAAGGTGAGGACATTTTGCATAATAATCTTAAAAGGTGAGGACATTTTGCACCAATTACCCAATAATGAATGCAATAACATTTTCACAAGTTCATTAACTTTTGAAACAGTGAATTACAAGATACTAACATTTTGACAGGTTCAGTGACCGATCGAAAAAAACTTAAATGTTCGATGGCAACTGAAAAATATATGGAAAAGCTCAATGACAACTTGATAAACTTTTAAGTCAGATAACAACTAAAATACATTAAAAATCATTTGAAAAAATTTAGTGACAACAGACATTTAACCTCAAAACATGTCATGTACCTCTCTTTTTCCTTCCATCTAATTTAATGTAAAAGGGCTCCGATCGGAGCGAATAACCGAAAAACCAACAAAGTAAATTCTCTTGGAAGAAAACATTAAACCCCCATTATTTTTTATTATAATGGGAGAATAGTAGTTTTTTTGAAAAATTGATGATTGTAAAAGAATAAACAGTTTCCAATTTACGTTTAATGTTATTTTATTGAAGATTGTGTGGTTAAAAATAAGAAAGGAAAAAATTTAGATTAATTTGATGAGAATTAATGGGAGCCAAACGGGAAAATTTGGGGGTAGAACTAACAACTTTATTCATAAACCCTAGCAAACAAAAGCAACGAATAATGTGCCGATGGACACGTGGACATGTGCGAGTGAAGTCAATGCTACATTCTTCAATGAACTAAGCTCCTGTTTGACAACTATTATTTGAAAACTTTTTTGTCTACATATTTTATATTCATAAAATAAAATATTTTGCATATAAACCAAAAACTTTGACCTACTTTTTAACTACACATTATTAAAGAAAAAAAAAAGAAAAAAGGAGCAACTAATCAAATCATTGTTTTCGCAGATAATGGCCACCAAACAGGGGCTAAAACGTGAAACAACTCTATTAGGTTCCATTGAAGAATGTGATACTGACCCCCTGCCCCGTGACCTATTGTCCTTCAACATTACTCGAAAAGAACACACTTTTTTTCCATTTTAAATCCGGAATTAAAGGCAATAAGATTTGAGGAAATATTGTAGTCAAGTGGGCTATCTATAGGTAAGATATTCTGGTAATACATCGTCCATCCAATTTGAAGGGTAGAAGTGAACTGCTAGTCTATTTCACAGCTAGAGGCACTCACTACACAACACCATGTCCTTATTCTAAAATATAAAATGTGCTGTAACCCTCTGTTAATACGTCTACATAAGTTTACAATTTGAGGTGTTTTTGGCTGGAAAACTATCCTATATATTTTATTCATTTCCTGCCCCTGAGAAGAAAATAAAAATAAAAATAGTACATCTGAATAACTAAAAAAGAACCTTGTTACTTGCTCCACATGGAACCATAAGCAGCCAGAATTTGCGATGCGTTTAAGTCCTGTAAGTAGGCTTTTCCACCCATATAGACCTGTTGTTTCTCAAATGTTGAGCACCATATGCCACAGTTGAAGTGGTTGTGGTTAAAGCAACTAACCAACTACAGAAAACCAGACGTTGTAGGGAAATCAAATTTCACATGTACATAATAGACAAACAAAAGCCAACGCACGGAAGCAAAGTTACCTCAAATATGTAATATACGGTAGGGTTTCTTCATTTCCAAAACTGGGTTGAAGAAGTGCAGCAGCTGCTAAGAGCAATTGAAAAACTGTATTGACCTGTTAAAAAAGATATTGATCGTGCAAACCACCAATTTGAACCTTGTTATGTCATATTCACAGCATTTTTTCTCCCAAGTTCATTCTTGCTATAAAAAATCAAGGGTCAAATGGAATACCTTGCTTATAAAGAGAGGTTCAACTTTTTGTGCACCAGCACTGTCAAGGTTGAAGAAATGAGACAAACTCTTCCACTAGTTACAAAACATCATTGAGAAACGTCAGCAAGATAAGATTTACTTATAGCAGTCTGATTGAAGTTAATGTTTGGTGGTCTAACTCACCTCCCAATCCAAACTGCTAGCCCTTTTGTAAACTGCGCCACCAACAAGAGCAACATCACGTAGTACAACCAGTGCAACAAGTCCAGCTTCACGCAAAAACAGAATGATTCCAATTATGATGGTGTTACGACATGTTATTTTACTCTATCGTATATCTTAATTTCTAACCTATGTCTATAAGTGACCAAAAATAAGCCAATGAAAACAATTACTTACAAGATTCGAACACTGCTATTGTATATGCCAACATCTCAAACCACATAACATCTAGAGCCTACAATCAACAAGCAAAATACTGACTCCTAAAGTCAGAAGCAACTAATAGTCGACTGTTAACATGAAAAATATGACTGGATTACGAGGTTCCTCCCAAAATTTAATCTGTGACTTTTTCTTTGCAGCATGTTATAGACATGCAAAATTGTGTACTTCTTTATGCTATGCCAATTTCAAAAATAATTAGTTGCTACCCTAGAAATTAAGAAATAAGGTAGAGGGAAGAAAGGACTAAATCTACTTACGGTGTAGAAGACCCATATCCACCATTGCCAAAGCAACACACCCAATCAAAACCTGTAAAAATAAGATATAATAAACTAGTGATTTCATGGGGTCACCAAGGCAACATTCTACTCATAACTATGAAAATAGAAGTGACCTGCAAGGTCAACACTTAATTCATTGGCAATCTCTCCATTCCAGGATATGACTTGGAAACTTACTTTGTCAGCCAGAGGATCAAGGTAGGAGCCAACTACAGAATTGATTTTCATCCTCCTCGCCAGGTAGCCATCTAACTAGAAAGTGAAATGAGATATTAGAGAAGAATGTGTCATCTTCCTTTCATTCAACGCCCAAAGGGGAAAAAGGGAAATCTTCATACCCAATCAGTTGCTCCTGAGATGGCAAGCCCAACAAATGCAGGTAGGTACATTTCTTGTGTAATCATCCTACAATAAAGTCTCGTAAACAACAGTTTCTAAAATTTTACCGAAGAAAAAATGAAACAAAAATGTTAGCACTTGAAAATCCTATCAAATTACAATGAGATGTCAACTAAATAAACCAAAATCCTACAAGATCCGCACTACAGGGCATCCAAAGCCCATAAGGAAAAGGCCAACCAAAAAAATGTAGTCTATCAGAGGAGCTTTGTGATATCAATCACACATGTACGTTCATATACAATCCTTGTCTTCTGTCTGCTACATGGCAGCACTATCATTAAAGCTTCAAAAGATTGCTTAACAAGTTGGTCATAAATTTGCAAATGCTTAATGATACCGATTAAATCAGTATGCCATACATAATACAAAAATTATATGGATACTAAATCGAACTTTCTCCACCTTCTTAGGACGTGTAACATGATCTAGCTAAATTGTTGATCAGAGGAGCTTTGTGATATCAATCACATGCACATGCATATACAATCTTTGTCTTCTGTCTACTACACGGTAGCACTATCCTTAAAGCTTCAAAAGATTAGTTATCAAGTTGGTCATAAATTTGCAAATATTTCATGACACCATCTAGACCAATATGCCGTCCAGAATACAAAAATTATACGGATAATAAATCAAACTTTCTCCACCTTCTTAGGACATGTAACATGATCTAATTAAACCGTTGATCAAATTAATCTATCCTCTAAAGCAAAAGGCAAAAAAAAAATAAGTGAAAAAAAAAAAAACTGATTGAAAATCTTATGAATCACAAACATAATGCCCCAGCTACAGTACTGATTCAAGGAACAAACTAACCAAATTCTCATTTTGCAATTACCTTGTGTTTACACAAACACAAAGAAAACAAAGTTATTCAGAATATGCAGCGTTCCAACTAATAGACGTTAATATATGAACATCCACAATCAATTTTAATAAATAAATTAAAAAAGTTGGGAACATACCATCCTAGCAACGGACCAGAGAGCAACCTACTGACCGAAATGTAATTCGGAAGATTCAAATAACTGTCAGTAACTCCACCGGAACTAATATCGAGCTCAGACCCATGAATTAATTTCTTCTTATCCCTCTCATGTGACAACAGCCTCTGAACAGAAGCATTGGATTGAAACCCAAGATTATACCGAAAGGGAGGCCGGTGAAGCAAATCGAGGGCTCGCACCCGAAGTTTAAGAAAATTAAGTACGACGTCGGATTGGAGGAGAAGAGGGGTGGCCGATTGGGAGAGCTTCCATGGTGGGTTTGAGAGGAAGAGTGGGCCCCCAAAATTAGAAAAAGGAGAAAAAAACTTAGACCGAAAAAGAAAATGGCGATGATTGTTTGATAATGAGAATATATTTGGAGTTGGGGTTGGGGAAACGAGGGATAAGAACGTTCTAGAAGGGGATGTGGAATTGGATTGGTTTTTGATAGATTTGGAAACTAGGGTTTTGAGTGATCTAAAAAACGCCATTGATGATATACAATAAGCATTGTTTAGTTTTACGTACGCAGAGATTAGGGTTCTTTGCTTTCCCGGGGGTTTTGAGGAAGGGGGACGGTAAAGAGGGATGACACGTGCTGGATATTCACACGTGTTAGATTGTCTCAGTGTGGTGGCTAATTAAAAACGCGCCTTCTCTGTCTTGATTAATTGACTAAAGTCGCGTTCTGCTGTGTACCGTCCATGTTAATTGTATAATTAGAGTTCATGTTTGATGGCATTTTTTAATTTATTTTTTTTTTTCAAATTCATTTTTGACCATATAGAACTTGATTTCTTTTATTCTTAATTTTGAAGATTTTTATTCTTAATTTTTCAGAAAAAGAAGAAAAAGAAGAAGAGGATGTATATTGGACAAAAGAGACAAGGCTCTTCATTTCAAAAGCATATAGGGAAAACAATTTTTTTAAACATAAAATTGAGAAGGTTAACTTCTTGAATGAGAGTGGTCTAAATTCCTTATAAGCTTATTATGTGGGATTTCTCGAGCGAAATACCATATCATATCGGTTTTTTAAGATGATAATCTATCTATTTTTTTCCTTAAACTAGTCACCTACCCATGCAATGCACGGGCTGTGTTATTTTCAAGGTAATATTAGTGTATTAAATATGTTGAATTCTCATTAATTACATTTTGAACTAATAGTTGTTTTAATCAATTTTCAACCATCTATCTCTGAATAAATGAATTTGTAATAAGAAAGCAAACTGATGTAGAGAAATTCAACTGGATCAAAATAGTAAGATATAAAATCATAGTCAGATAGATGAAGCAAAAATTAAAGATTAACATGTTCTATAGATGATATGTATACTACAATCTTTTCTTAGAATTCTTCTCATAGTTCTGTAGGTCAAGGACACTCAGCATGGATCTTGTTTTCAAATAGTTCACATCTTTAATTGGTGGTTGTGAGAACTTCTATCCTAACTGCATCGACCAATATTTGAGTTTCCGGAACATTAGAAAATAGAGATATTCAACAAGAAAAATATATTATTACGATGATCTGGAAAGAAATACACTATCCTTCTCAAGACCTTATTTCCATGCCAAAAATTGGTACAATATTATTGAATAAAAGTCTACAAACTGAAGCAAATTTTTTACAAGATTTAGTATGTTTCCATCCTGGATTATATTTAGCAAACTTAGGGCATAAATTCAACCTTGTCAATGGTTGGAAAAACAATTGGTCTCAATCATTTTGTAGAATGGAAACGCAATCACCATTAGCACCTTTCCATGCTGCTCCAATGTTATCCATTATATTGTGGAACTTAAAAATTGAAATAAAAGAAATAAGAACAGTGATCAACACATATTGATAATCCTATTATAAGATAAGAAAATTAAATATTTAAACAAAATTTTAAAGTTAATTACAAAGAAAATTTAGAGTCATATTAGTTGCATTTTGCCATTTCCATTAGTACGATCAAAATAAAAATTTTCACTTGTGAAAACATTTGCATCAATGTTCAGTTTTATCTACAAGAAAAATAAATAAAACATCATATTGTTTTAACTCACCATATTGTTTCAATTGCTCAAGTCCTCCTGGATGTTCTTCTAACCCGAATAGAAGGTTGCAGAGGTTATAGATGCTCTTTCAACATCTGAAAATTGAAAAAAAAAAAAAAATAGCCAAAAGATCTTCACCCGGAGATTAAGGCTTTTATACTATAGTAGGGACCTAGAATAAAAGTGAAAATAAATATGATTCCCAATGCTGTAGTATTTTGCTGCTATATACGAAGATAAAATAAATATATTCGTGCCCCTGAGGATGATCAGGTATACCGTTTTATGATAAAAATGAATTTAAACTTGCTTAACACGATACACACACAAGATGCAAAAAGCTGAGAATTAGTATAAATTATGAAGTCCTAATTTTTGTGTTGGTGATCTCATTTGTGGTGTTCAATCGTTATTCTTTTTTAGTCGAATAGACTTGTGGATTAGAAGGTCATTGAGTGATTATTGAAGATTGCTAGCTGCAAAGGTTTAGTGTTTTTATTAATAATTCAAGATTTTGAATTGAAATTTTTAATTTGTGAAAAATATTTGATCTCTACTTTGATTTCAAATTTTAGTTTCTGCATCTCTTCCTCCGGAAGCAACTTTTCTCAAAACTTCTTACAACGAATTACGAAGATAATATATTAAGGTCTTACGATTGGATGTTTCCTTTACAAGATGAAGTCGAAGTTTAGCCAAAAAGTTTCCCACATGCAATAACAATCAGTACTAATAGGGCATTCTTATCTAATTTCGAAATACAACATAAAAAAGTGTACCATGATTCATGCAAAGCTATATATTCTAGAAATAGCAAAAATATGGAATAAACCAATGCAGACAAGAATTAAAAGGTAAAATCTGAAATTGAAACTAAAAGGTACCTGACTGGACAGTTAAGACTGTATCACCCTCGACGATCAGATTATAAGCCATCCACAAATCACCTGCTTCTTCATTGACCATTTGTGGCAAAACCCAAACACTAGAACATAGAAGAAACAACAAATTACTACTATTTGAACCCAAAAGAAGTAATGAATTTGAAATTGATGTTTTCTTCCCTCTAGCCCTTTCAAGTGGAATTTCATTTTACACCGTCCGTGTACATCTTCTTAAAGTTTGAGAGATCTCACGATTGAATTTAGTACAGAACACGTCCTTTTCTTCCAAAGAAAGAAAGTCAATTCAAAAATATTGATCAGAATCAGCATCACAGGTAAATGTGAAATATATTAAAACATTTAGAATCAAGCATATACTGCCTTGCACATTAAAAATCTTTACCATATACAACCACAACTCTTTTCTCTTTTGCACAGCATTGTAAACAGGAAAAAAACTGCATTGACATATAAAGCAGACGAGTTGAAGTAATTACCTCTACAAAATTTGGATCCAAAGTGGTGTTGATTTCGAAAGCTTCTCCTTGATTTATCTTTACCTCATTAACATTTTAATAAAACAAAACCAAAATGTAAACATAAAAATTTAAATGTAAATTCCAAATCATCATTTCCATAAAATTCATGCAATAAACTCGAAACGTAACTAATTTAGCTTTAAAAAGCATAAACTTTCAAAACCCAATTGCAGTTACCCAATAAAAGTAGCTACTTTCACGAACCTAAATAAAAACAGATATTAAATGAAACCAAAAAGAAAAAAAACAAGAATAAATGAAAGACAGGCGCATTGACTGGATAGTAAATGATCGAAGAACAGGGGTATGAATTATTGAGAAAACAATATGAAGGTACTATTATACAACTCTAGTAGAAGAAATTGTTTACCTGTCTATGATTGGATTGCCTTCTCACCTCATACTGTAGTTGCCTTCTCAAGATCTCTCCCTTTCGAAGGTTTCAAGAACTTAAATTTTTTAGAAAGAGTAAGGGAATCTGGTAAGGTTTTATTTGGTGTGGAGAGATAAAGCACGCATGAAGTGAGAGAGAGCAATAGCCCCTTTAAGGGAAATTTTAGTGAACCACCTTAGTAAATTATTATTCAAATTGTTGGTAAACATTTTGATCGATATTATTTTTTGGTCAACCAAATAAAAAGAATCCAGTGAAAAATGATGGGTGATTGTGTGCAGAAATGGAGAAGTAGA